GTTAACTGGGCAACCCCTGTGAAAGGGTCATTCGACCCCGGGCGCCAGCTGCTGCGGTGGATGGGCAGCAGGTACGTGTCCGTCCGGACGGACGTTGGGGGGAGGCGGGCAGCGGGCCTGGGGCCAGGACCCGGCCTGAAACCCCACTTCCCACAGCTCGCGGCCCAGCGCGTTCCTGGGGCAGCCCCGGCCCGGCCCGGCCCGGCGAGCCTATGCCAGTGGGGCCGCTCAGGTAGGGGTCAGGGTCCTGGGGGGTGGGGTCGCCCCCGGCAAAGTCACGCCCTTCGTCCTAGCCCCCTGCCACCCGTCCTGGCACTGGGAGTAGGGCAAAGGGCCGGCCAGGGTGCCCTGTGGGTACAAGTAGGGGAAAGGTCGCCGAGCGCACCCCTGCGCACCTTGGCACAGCAAGTCCCCTTTCCCCGTCCTCCTGTCCCAGGCGGCTGTGCACAAGACCGATTCGCCCTCGCCCGATGCCCCTGCCAAGGAAAGCCAGGCCAAGGCGGTATGCGGCGCCCGGTGGCGGGCGGGGGGCCGGGACGGACCGAGCTGGGCCGGGTCACGCCCACCCTCACCATTCCCAGCCCACGCCTCGTAACCGCCCTCTCCCTACCCAGGAATCCAAGTCCTTTGCTATGGGGATGTTTAAGGGCCAGCTCACCACGGAGCAGGTGTTCCCCTACCCGTCCGGTAAGGGTAGGAGTCATGGGAGTTGGGTGGGGGCAGGACAGTGTCCCCTGGTGGTAGTCTGAGCCGCCTTCCTCCTCCTCCTCCCTGCAGTGCTCAACGAGGAACAGACGCAGTTCCTCCGGGAGCTCGTGGGGCCCTTCTCTCGCTTCTTCCAGGTGAGGGATGACGGGGGCTGGAAGGTACAGGGGTGCCCCCCTCCTCTGGTAGGGCTTGGCGGGGCATAAAAAGAGCCTGGCTGTGGAGACCTGTGCCTTCCCAGGAGGTGAACGACCCTGCCAAGAACGACTCCATGGAGCAAGTGGAAGACAGCACCTTGCAGGGCCTCAAGGAACTGGGAGCGTTTGGTCTGCAAGTGCCCAGTGAGCTGGGTGGCGTGGGCCTCTGCAACACCCAGGTGAGGGGCCCCTGTGTCACTGCCCGCAGCCCCATGCCTCACAGGTTTCTACACTACCCCCCACCCCCATTTATGACAACTGCCCTGGGGCCTACAGGCTGGGGCCCATGTTCCCATCCAAACCAACATTCCCTGCCATCGATAAGCGTGCTCATGCTGCCTCCCTTCTCCTTGGGAGCCACTGGGGCCCTTCCAATTGGCCATGGTACCACCAGTGCCCGTTGTATACATTCACCCCAAAACACAACAAACAAAAGGACATGCAGTGCAGTCCCCTCAGACTCCCAAGTCCCTGCACGTTTCCAAGGTTGGAGCCAATCGCCTGGCAGTGGTGGGAACCGCCTGCCGGCTAGTACCTGAAAGGTTATTAGCACCCTCTCTGCAGTGACTTCTCCATGACCACCACCTCCCCATCACTAGTGGAGTGCTGTGGTGATGGCCAAGAGCCTGTTGCCAGACAACCACTTACAACCCCTATGCCTGCTTTTCCTCCAGTATGCCCGCCTGGTAGAGATCGTGGGCATGCACGACCTCGGCGTGGGCATCACCCTGGGGGCCCATCAGAGCATCGGTTTCAAAGGCATCCTGCTCTTTGGCACCAAGGCCCAGAGAGAAAAATACCTCCCAAAATTGGCATCTGGTGAGGCAGCCCTAGAAAGGGGTGGGTGGAGGGTGTTTGCCCTGGACTTGGTATAAGTTGGTCTGGTCTGGTTGGCGCTTAGGTCAGGGCATTTTGGCACATTGGCTGGGGCACTCGGTGCACTGGTGGGGAGATGCAAGGGAGGATGCTGGGTGACTGATAGGCAGCAGAACCCACGGTAAAGGCGTTCCACCCCAACAGGGGAGACCGTGGCCGCCTTCTGCCTGACGGAGCCCTCCAGTGGGTCTGACGCAGCCTCCATCCGAACCTCAGCTGTGCCCAGCCCCTGTGGGAAGTACTACACCCTCAACGGAAGCAAGATTTGGATCAGGCAACCTTCGTCCCAAGTCCCTCCTCTATTCCAGCCCCCACCCCTCCCACCCCTCCCCACCCTGACTGACACCCCCCCTTCACTCTTCCACAGCAATGGGGGGCTGGCAGAAATCTTTACAGTCTTTGCCAAAACACCAGTTAAAGATGCAGCCACGGGCGCCATGAAGGAGAAGATCACGGCGTTTGTGGTGGAGAGGAGTTTTGGGGGCATCACTCAGTGAGTGGGTAAAGGAGGAAGCTACAGGGCAGACCGTTCTGTGTCAACATGAAGGGTTGGGGGCCAGCATATGCTGTTCATTAGAATGATCGGTCCTAAATATGAAAATGGTCTAAAACAGTGGTTCTCAACCTTCCTAATGCTGCAACCCTTTCATACAGCTCATGTGGTGGTGACCTCCCAAGCATAAAATTTTTTTGTTGCTACTTGATAACCGTCATTTTGCTTCTGTTAACTGGGCAACCCCTGTGAAAGGGTCATTCGACCCCCAGGTTGAGAACTGCTATTCTAAAAGCTTGGCCTCCCAACCTTGAGCCAAACCCAGGGTAGCCAGGGTATTTACCCAGGCTCCCGTAGCCTGGGCATCCCCGGGCCGGGGCTGTCTCTCCTTGGAGTCTGGGAGGATGTGGTTCTGCCTTGGCTGGGAAGGGGCAGTTTACTTTCCAGGTGGCAACGTTTTGAATATAACATCTGTCTCCCGTCACAGTGGGGCCCCCGAGAAGAAGATGGGCATCAAGGCTTCCAATACAGCTGAGGTGTACTTTGATGGGGTACAGGTACCATCCGAAAACGTGCTGGGCGAAGTGGGGGGCGGCTTTAAGGTCGCCATGCACATTCTCAACAACGGAAGGTTTGGCATGGCTGCAGCCCTGGCGGGCACCATGAAGGGCATCATTGCTAAAGCGGTGAGTCTCCTGCCAGTCTCCCTGCCATTACAGTTGCTGTTAAACTGGTCCCAGCTCATCACTGACCCTTTCAACATCCAACTCACTGCCACTGAGTTGATGCCAACTCATAGTGAGCCTCTGTAAGGTTCCCGAGACACTATGGGGCAGCCTCCTCACGGAAGAGCTGGTGGTCTGAACCACTGACCTTGTGGTTAGCAGCCTGCTGACTGCACCCCATGAACTCTAGCTTAAACCTGAGTCACGCTGTCACCTTTCCAAGGGTCCTGTTCCCATGCAGGCCCTCCCTCCACCAGAAGCCCTCCCCACAAGTAGTTTCCAACCTGCTGGTTCAGATCTCCATCCCGCAGGGACTGACCCCATGGCTACTGCCAAAGGCTGTGCCCTGCTGCCCCTCCCCTGAGATTGCAGAACCCCCATGCCACCCACTGGCCCTCTTCCAGGTGGATCATGCTGCTAACCGTACCCAGTTTGGGGAGAAAATTCACAACTTTGGGCTGATCCAGGAGAAGCTGGCCCGGATGGCTGTGCTACACTATGTGACCGAGGTGAGTGTCCTCTACCCCCTCCCTGGGGCCTGGGGCCTTCTAGCTCAGTTGTGTTAGACTACAACCCCCAGCAGCACCTGGGGCAGTGGGTCTCCAGCTTCACACCAATGCCCTAGGGGATGCGGAGAGGCATAGCCAGTTTCTGTCAGTGGGTGCTGTCTGAGGTTAATTCCACCCCTACCCCATGCCTTCCTCTTCACTCCGGACCCATTTCAGGAAGTCAAATGCCCGAGAGTTCTGACAAACTGACCGGGAGAGCCAATGTTTAGATGTGTGCACCACATGGCCGTAGAAGGTGGAGTGCACGGGCAGCATGGAGCTTGGTCAGAGCTGGTCTTGGAGATATGGGCAGTCAGGGGACCTGATGCGGCCCTTCAATGTTCCTTTGTTTTGATCCCGCAACCGCGCAGTCCATGGCTTACATGGTGAGCGCCAACATGGACCAGGGATTCAAGGACTTCCAGATAGAAGCCGCCATCAGCAAAATCTTCGGCTCGGTGAGTCAGGCCCCAGAGCATGCCGGGAGCATCCACTTTAGGAATTGGGCACCCACACCAACCTAACTTGGTCCTTTGTGTCCTAGGAGGCAGCCTGGAAGGTGACAGATGAGTGCATCCAAATCATGGGGGGCATGGGCTTCATGAAGGTACAGGAGGGTCCTCTGTAGGAGGTGGCCTTGGCTGAGCAAGGGGGAGGGCTAGGTGACAGTCCAGCAGAGGCTTGGCTTATAATCCGCACCCCACCTCCACCCCCCCACACGACAGGAGCCCGGGGTGGAGCGAGTGCTCCGTGATATCCGCATCTTCCGGATCTTTGAGGGGACAAATGACATTCTCCGGCTCTTTGTGGCTCTGCAGGGCTGTATGGTAAGGGGGAAGGAGTTGGGGGCGGGAAGGCGCGCACAGACGATGAGTCCTGACTGTTGGGTGGACCCTCTTCCCTACAGGACAAAGGAAAGGAACTCTCGGGGATCGGCAACGCTCTGAAAAACCCCTTTGGGAACGCCGGCCTCCTGCTAGGAGAGGCGGGCAAACAACTGAGGCGGTAAGGTGCTTGGAGGACAGGCCGGGGACTGGGGAGGGGGGTAGCAATGTGGCCACTGACCAGTCATTCTCCCTTCCTCAGGCGGACAGGGCTAGGCAGTGGCCTGAGTCTCAGTGGGATCATCCACCCGGAGTTGAGTCGGAGCGGTAATTTGGTAGGCCGTTCGTCAGGGGCAGGGGGTCGGGGTCCCTGGGCCAAAGGCAATGAGAGGGCCTCTCTGAGGATGACCCTCCATGTCTTCAGGCAGTGCAGGCCCTGGAGCAGTTCTCCACGGTCGTGGAGGCCAAGCTGATCAAACATAAGAAGGGGATTGTCAGTAAGTGAGCTCTAAACCGACCCGCCTGCATCCCCACCCCCACGCCCCGCCCCACGCTCCATGCGCACACCTGCCCCATCTACCTGACAGATGAGCAGTTTGTGCTGCAGCGCCTGGCAGACAGCGCCATCGACCTCTACGCCATGGTGGTGGTGCTCTCCAGGTGTGCGGCCGGGAAGCCAGGGCCACGCGGGGGCAGGGGGTGTCATGGGCCGGGCTCACAGCAGAATGTTTACCCCCACTTTCAACCTCCCACCAGAGCCTCAAGATCCCTGAGCGAGGGCCACTCCACAGCCCAGCACGAAAAAATGCTCTGTGACAGCTGGTGTATTGAGGTGAGACTCGGGGCTATCTAGGGGAGGCGGGGGTGGGGGCTGAAGACATACCCCAACACCCTTTTCTGCGCCCCACAGGCAGCAGCCAGGGTCCGAGAGAGCATGGCCGCCCTGCAGTCGGACCCCCAGCAGCAGGAGCTCTTCCGCAACTTCAAGAGCATCTCCCAGGCCTTGGTCGAGCACGGTGGGGTGGTCACCAGCAACCCCCTGGGCTTCTGAGCACGCACAACCAGGGCCTGGCCTGCTTCCTTCGTGCCTTCTCTCCAGCCAACGCCGTAGCCCCCTCCCCTCCGGGCCCTGCCTTCAGGGGGTCCTCCTGCCCCCAGCACTGTGCCTGCTCTCACAGGGAGCTCTGACTGCCTCAGGAAGAATAAAGTTCTGACTGTGCTGCTCTGCGCCCCGGCTCCTTTTCCCGCGGCTGCCTGCCTCCCTCCCAAAGAAAGGAGCCGGAGGCAGGGCGGGGGAGTTGTTGGCCTCTATTGCTTTATTTGGTGTTTTAAACAAGTGGCTAAAATAAATAGAGTAACAAAGGCAGCTACACGGCCCCCCGAAACCCCAGCTTCCTTCAACTACTGGCTGGGGCGACCAGCCCCCTTCCTCCTCCCAGGGTACCGCTGACCACCCACCAGCCCACACAGGGCAGCGCTGACTGGGTGGCTGGAGGACGAGGAGGTCACATTGCGGGGTGAGAAGAGGGGCCCAGGGGATTCTTCATATAAAAGAGGGAGCGTCTATAAAAAATGTTCCCAAAAGTGTAAGAAAGTCTATTTTTAATCCTCAAAAAGGCTTATAGAAAATAATAGAGCTAAAAATAACCAAAAGTCCCTCGTACACCCCCGAAGAGAGAGCGAGGAACCAGGCACTGCTGTGAAGAGTCACAGTGGCAACAGCCTCCGGGGAGGCGGCAGCCCAGGCGTTGTGAGCACGTGATTGCAAGTACACCGGGCACCACAAGGCACGGAGTGGCCCCACCGTGGGGTCTACATCACATCCACAAAGAACTCACTGGGGTTGCCCATGGCCATGTGGAAGCTTTGGCGGCTGGCCGTCAGCTCGGGGGGCACAGAGCCCAAGTCTCTGATGGGAGGGGCCCCTGGGGGCTGGACTGCTGTGGGGACAGGGGGTGGGGGTGGAGGCATCATTACCACCATCATGGGGTTATAGGGGAGGGCCATGCCAGGGGGTGGTCCATAGGGATGGAGCCCTGGGTGGGGTCGAAGATTAGGAGCACCACCTGATGAGCCCCTGGATGGAGGGGGGCCCCCGTCACCAGCCCCGCTCGGTTCCCCACCCCGTCGAAGGCTGCCCCCACGACTGGAGGGCTCGGACTCGCTGCCGCTGCCGGATTTGGACTCGGGGGCCCGCTCCTCAGGCCTCCCTGTGCGCCCTGCCCCCCCATCGCTCCGAGTTGACCCACTGCTCCGGCTCCCTGTTGGGGGGAGAGGGGTGGGTGGCTGAGCCCTGGCCCAGGGTCCATGGGCCTCCCAACCTGGCCCTGCCCTCCCCTTTCAGACCCTGGGCTCTACCGTCTGTGGGGATGACTTACCCTCACTGTGTTGGCTGCTGGCACTGCCCCCACCATAGGTGTAGGAAGAGAGCTCGTGGTAGGGTGGGGGCTGGGGGCTGTATGGGTGGGGAGCCGGGTACTGATAGGAGAAGGTGGGCAGCAAGGGCCAGGGGGTGGCCCCGGGCAGAGGAGCCAGAGTGTCCTGGTCCGAAGCCCCGCTGGAGCCGTCGTTGTCATTCAAAGACAAGTTGACCAGGTCTGAAAGGAAGAGAGGACCAAGTGACTGTTTCGCAGAGGCCTGGACCCCGAGGTGGGAGTGAAACACCCCCGATCTGAGCTGCCCAGACAGGAAACCCACGCCCCACTGCCACTGGGGAGCAGAGTTAGTGGCCGGAGCCCAAGGGCTTTTTCCTGAGGCTCAGCCTGGTGCCCTTCCTGCTGGGGCTGAGGCCCTGCGCAGGCGCCCCGTTGGCCCCCAACACAGCAGCCCCCGGTCCACTGCTTCTGAGGCCAGGGACCCCATGGCTCTGCCGAGCACAGTGGTCTAGGCTGGGTCGGGGGTTGAAGAGGCCAGCCAAGCAGCCCAAGGCTCTCCCTCCCTCTCCAGGGAGCAGGGCAAGGGACTCACAACGGTCACAGCCACCACTGAGGTCCCCAAAGACATAGTAGCACTGCTCGGAGAAGGTGATCTTGTTCACGGTGTGCCGGATGAGGCCCGCCTTCAGCAGCCCACTGGCGTACTTGCGGGCCTCGCGCCGCTCGGGAAAGCCCTCCACGTGATGGTAGAGCCAGTCCACCACGTCCGAACCTGGGTGCCCAGGGGGAAAAGGCCTCGCATTCTCCTCACAGAGGGGACCCGGGCCCTCGCCCCTCTGTGCCCTTCCCAGCCTGGGGCACCTCCCCCTTCCCACACCACCTGCCCAGGGGCTCAGCCGCACCCAGAAAGGCATTTGGGATCGTGATCTTGAGCCACATGCGGTCCCGAACTTCCAGCCCTGATTCCGGAGCAGCCATGGCCTTGGTCACAGACGCCATGTCCGTATGGATGGAGAGACCCCGGCCCTCACAGCCTGCCACAGGAGACAAGGGGGCGTCAGGGGTGGGCCCACTTATGCAGGGTACTGGAGTAGGCGGGGCACTGCTCACCATCGGGCAGAGAAGACCCGGATGTAATGGTGCTCATGGATGAGGAGCCCGGATAGGCTGGGAAAGTGCCAGTCAGCGCAGCCGAGTGGGACACCCAGGCAGCAGGGTCAATAGGCTGGATGGGCTCATCTGGGACAAGGAAGACCACCAAGATGATCAAGCCAGCCCCATCCCTCCTCCAGATTCACCCCACCTTAGGCCTGGCCCTCCCTCCCACCCCCTGCCTTCCAGTCCCAGCCTGCCCTCCCAGCCTCTGGCCCTAGGCCCGAACGTCACTCACTTCGAGGGAGTGTGAAATAGGCCTGCGGAGAGGGATCCCAGCACTTGGCCACGGTCAGCACAATGGGGCTGTGGGGAAGAGCAGAGGCCAGTGGGAAAGGGGGGTGGCAAGGGTGGGGGGGCTGATGTGCGCCCCCAAGGGGCTCTGGCACATCCCAAGTCTGAAGGCCGTGAACAGAAGAGCTGGCCTTTAGGGTCCAGAAGCTAAACACAGCGCGTTCCAATCACTGACCTATCAGCTAGCAGCCAAGAGCTAACTACCATGCTCCAGGGTTCCTACGGAGGGCCAGAGAAGAGACAGAGTGCCAGGCCCGAGGAGGGTGGAGGAGGCCTGGAATGAGAATGGGGAGGGGGAGGAGGAGGGAGAGGAAAGCACCTGGCTGGGCCAGAGGGGAGGGTGAAGGCGCCCCGGGGCCGGCAATGCAATGGCACGGAACTGTGAGTCTCGTAGGGGGTCAAGTGTACACGCCGCACAGTTCTGCTCACAGGACGTTCAAGAGAGTCAAGGCTGAACTGCGGGGCCCAACAAAACCCTCACCCAGCCAAGCTCTTGTCCCGGTGAGGGCAGCAGCCAGCAGAGGGGCTGGCTGCAGGGGCGTGAGGAGCGGGGAGCTGGAAGGGAGCCTGGAGGCAGTGTCTTGGGCATGGTGACCGGCCGTCTTGTGCACATCCACTCTCTAAATACTCAAGGTGCGCTAGGCTCCACTGCTGGGTTCTGAGTTTTTCCGAGCGCAGAGCACAGGGTGAGAGGGGCACAGACGGGGAAGGCCCGGGGGCTCACCCTGGCTTGTGCACAATGTCCCTCAGCACCCGCACGGCATCATCGTTGCTCATGTTCTCAAAGTTCATGTCGTTCACCTGGACGTGAGAACCAGTGGGTCAGGGCCGATGAGTGGGCCCAGAGCACCTACCCTAACGCCCCACCCTAACGCACCTGTAACAGCATGTCTCCGGGCTCGATGCGTCCATCGGCCGCCACAGCCCCGCCCTTCATGATGGAGCCGATGTAGATGCCGCCGTCTCCCCGCTCATTGCTCTGGCCCACAATGGAGATGCCCAGGAAGTTGTACTTCTCTGTGGAGGGAGTCCACTGTGATCAGGGGGACGCCCCCGCCCTTTGTCCCCGCAGGAGCCCAGGTCCTCTCTACCCCGAGCCCAGGTTCCCGCCGTACCCATATTGAGTGTGACTGTGATGATGTTGAGAGACATTGTGGAGTCAGTGACGCTGCTGAAAGACGAGGTCTGTGTGGGAAGAGGGGGAGAAGCTGAAAGCCCTTCAACAATCTCAGCATAAGCCTTGGGCTTCTCACTGGGGGCCGAAGGAGCCCAAGTCAAGGCCATGCCCCAATGTCTTCAACTCACCCCCCACCCGCTGCCGTTCTCCCATAGGGGCCCCTCACCCTCTCCAGGCGGGGCGGCCGCTGTTTCCTCCGCCGCCGGTGGCGCTTGAGGAGGCGAGAGGCACTGCTCTGCTCCGTGGAGCTGCTGAACCTGACAAAGGGTGGTCATTGGTGGTCAGCTTGACCTGCATGAGGTTTGCCTAAAGGTCAGAGTCGCGGCTGTTCTGTAAGCTAACATCCGTCGTTCCTAACCCACGGCCTCCAAGTCCACTGCGCCTCCTAGAGACCCCGCAGGACAGGCCGGCCTGCCGCTGGAACTCTTTCCGGGAGTAGAAAGCCCCGTCTTTCTCCACAAAGCAGCTGGTGGTTTTGAACTGCTGCCCTTGCCGTTGGCACCCCACTGCCTAACCACTGCGCCACCAGGGCTCCTTGTATATATACTTGGGAGAGAAAAAAATTGTTAGTTTGCATTAAGAAGTTAATTTATGTTCATTCAGTGTCCTTCAGTACTTTGTTTAATTGTTAACCATCTTTCCAGATGTCCTGTCCAGTATTGAAAGTGGTACAGTCTTCAACTATTATTATTGAAGTGTCCAACTATATATATCTACATATCTCACTACAATAACTATATATATCCTTTAAAAAAAGAAGTTAATTTATGTAATTATGCACATGCGTATAGATGCACATACATGCATATATGCATAAATGCACTTAACATGCACACGCATACATATGCATGTGTCCATACACGTGGCCTAGGTATGAGAAAGAACCCTTGGTGGTGTCCTACATTACGTGTTGTGGTGCTGACTGCAAGGTCAATGGTTCAAGCCCACCAGCTGCTCTTCAGGAGAGAACTGGGGGCTTCTGCTCTGGTAGACTCACAGTCTCGGAAAGCTGGAGGGGCAGCGCGAGTCAGACTCGGCAGTGGGTGGCAGTAAGTAAGCTCTAATACCAAAACCCACTGCCACCGAGGCCGTGTCACCTGACAGCAACCCAATGGGGGACAGAAGAGCTCCTGAGACTACATTTGGTTTTTCTCCTTCAAAGTGGACACGAACTGCTGGCTTTGGGGTTAGCAGCCCCAGGGGTAGTAACCCACTACGCCACCAGGGAACTTCCCATGCAATCTCTGAAGGCCGGCGGTCAGCCAGTTGGTTCCAACGCATAGTGGCCCTGTTAGATCCCAAGTCTTTACAGGCGCAAACGGCCTCAGATTTCCCTTGGAGTGGCTAGTGGGTTTGAACCACTGACCTTGCTGTAGGTGTCCATGCTTAATCCACTGAGCCAACACAAAGCGGGGCGGGGGTCAAAAATTCATGGACAAGAAGGAATGAAAAGCCAGTGGATTTTCCCACTAGGTTTGTGAAGCCCCGCACGTGCATGTGTCTCGATGATTCTTTCTCTGGAGGACCCTGACCAGGACGGATGGCGTGCTGGCAAGCAGACATGGTCATGGGACCACGGGGAAGGAGGAGAGTACCGGTGAAGCTGTACCTGCTCATGGTGTCCTCTTCATCCGAGTCCCCCAGGCTGGTGCTCTCCAGCTCACTGGTCATCAGGGTAGAGGAGCTCTCGTACCCAGCCAGGTGGCGCTCCAGCCTCGAGGGGCCGCTGGGCCTGTGGCCCACACCTGAGGGTGAATAGGACCCTCAGGAACCGGGCTTCCTGTTCCCTACCCACATGGAAGCCTGGCCCTGTCCGGGCCACTCCCGGCTCCCGCTCTGCCCAGCCTCCGGGGCCTGGTCCCCTCACCGCCATGCTCACTGCTCTCTCTCCGGCGAGGCCGCTCGCGCCTCAGCGACACGACTGACTCCGTCTCCGTCTCCGGCTCCAGGTTTTCCCGGCTGCTGGACACATTGGGGCTGGGTGGACAGAAATGGTTTCCACCGCTGTCCACAGGACACTCTGGTCCCCTCACACACACCCACACACCCCACTTTAGTCCCCTTCCCTGGACTCTGAAGTGCCAAGAACTCACTGGAAAGATGGCGGCCTGGAGTCTCCAATGCCACTAGTCCTCTCCGGTGGCAAAGGGGGCAGTGGTGGGGGTGGCGGCACCAGTTCTGTGCGAGGCTCATGGGCGGAGGGCACCCCCTCAGGCTGGGGGTTATCGGATGACACGAGCTAGAATGGTGCGAAAGATACAAAAGGGCTCAAGTGAGAGGTGGGGCCTGTGTGAGGTCGGGGGAGGCTCAGAACACGTACGAGTCCAAGAGCTCACAAAATCAGTACTGAGTGATGCTCGAGACAGAACAGGCTACCCCAGGGGAGTAGGAAGCGAGGGCCCTGCCACTGGGTGGGGGCTGGGTGTGCAAAACCAGATGGAGGCTTGGTAGAGCTCAGCAAGGCAGAAAGCCAGGGCCCCTTACCCAGGATACCACCCTTCCGTTGAAGCAGGGAAGGCGAGCATTGTCGTCAGAGATCTCTTCCTTCACCACCCTGCCAGAGACAAGATAAAGGTCAGTGAGGCTGGACGAGGAGCTCCCGGACTCACTCACCACCTTCCAAGTTCCTGCCACGTCCCATCTTCATCCAGCTCTAGCTCAGGGTGCTGACTAGTCTGTAACGTTGAGACAGGTCCCTTCTACTCTGGACCAGGCTCCACATTGCAATCCCCTTTCCTGACTTTTCCTTCTCTCCATAGTTCATCCTCAGGGACTTGATGCTGCTCCAGACTTCCTGGAATCTACTTTAAACCTGTCCATGCAATTCCAGAGGAGTCCTGGGGGTCCTGTGGTTCCACGCGGGGCTGCGATCCCAGAGGGCAGCAGTTCAAAACTACTCGTCATTCCGCAGGTGAACAATGGGGCTTTCTACCTCATAGAGCTACAGCTGGGAAACCCACAGAGCGGACGGGCCCTGTCTACAGGACATTATGAGTCAGTGGCTCATAACTACGACCCGATGGTAGCGAGTTTATTTTTGTTTTGTTTTGGCGGGGGGGGGGGGGGGGGGGGGCGGGGTTTGGTATCCAATTCCAAAGGCCATCCCCTATGGTTACCCTAGCTGCTCAGAATAGCCACCTGTCCTTCGCCTTGCGGGTAGATCCCCTAACCTTCATTCCTGCCCCTCACAAATCTTCCCTCAAAAGGCTTGCGGTCCTCACCTCCATCTCCTGCATGTCTTCTCTAGCTTACTTGGGGAGACCTGTTTAAACGGAATGTCTTGGTCTCGATACAAATGCCCACTGGACCACTGCCTGAGGTTGCAAGTTCCCAGGAGGGGGGAGCGGCTCATCTTCGTCTCCTCTGTGCCTCACCTACCACAAGACTCTGCCCACGGCGGTCTGCTCAAGTCTGGAGGGTCCAACTGGCAGATCTCAAAGTCCACTCTGGAGGGTCAGTTTTCTCTTAGGGTCCTTAAGGTGAATTGAACTTGCCCTACCCATCCCCCATATCCTACTCAACATCAAGCCCCGTCCATGCAGCACACGTCCTGACATCAATGGGTCTGAGCAAATCTGTGGACTAAAACAATAAACGTAGGTACCACCACCACTCTGTTTTGGCTCCTCCTCTCTCAGCACACACCCTCACCCTCACCCCCAAATTAGGACATCTTGCCTTCGACTAGTATAGTTCTGAATCTATCCCAACTCAGTCCATGTGCTATGACTGTCATCCTGTCCCCACCATCACTGCTCCATCACTACTGGCCTGTCTCAGAAAGTCGCTGCCCGCTCAACGTCATCCGTCTCAGCACAACCCACCCCACCATAGCTTAGCTTATGAACTAGTCAGCCTCAGTACCAGTAAGTATGGAGCTGTGAACTGGTAGAAAACCTTGCACTGCATTTACGGAGAAGGAAAATAAGGCGCAAAAGTTCAGTAGGTAGCCCAAGATCACTCTGCTGATAAGCTCCCAATGTCAACTAGCCCCTTTCCAGTGTGGCCTGGCTACCCTCAATTGAGCCCAACCTGCCTTCAGAAGAGCTGTGGATGAAGCAGTAGAGGGCTCAGTTTCAAAGGCTCTACACATAAAAGGGTCTATTCTGCATTATAGAGTCCCAGTTAGCCCAGGATAATCCCAAATGGTCCACATTAACCCAAGACAGCTCAATCGATTCTATATTTTACCGCCGGCTAGAGCGTTCTCACCCACAGCTGTTGGCATTACTATGCCAATACAGGTAGTCCTTTATACTCGGCCCTCAACGGCCCAAATAAAGCCAAGTCTGCTCCAACAGAAACTAGAGCAGCCAATGCAATCCTGTCTGCCGCTATAGAGCCCCAGCATGGCCAGAGTTTTCCTAGGATGGCCTATTCTACTTCAAGCCAGCCTAGATCCGGTCCTGTCCATGCTCCTGTACAATAGGCTGTCCGGTGCCTGGAGAAGGACACCACCCTTGGTGGAGGGTTGCTGAAAATGAGGAAGACCCTCAACAAGCTGGACTGGCATCATGGCTGCAACAACTGGCTCAAACACACCTGCTGGCCCAGGGTATGGGAACTGCATGTTTTGTTATACAGAAAGAGGTTCTGCGTCGGAACGGACTGTCCAAAACAGCCCTGTCTGTCCCAGCATAGGCGGCAATGACCAAAATTGCCCACCCCATCAACGTCAAGAGACTCCCCCACCCTCCCACCCCTCCACAGCCCGTGTGCTACACAACGGCTCAAGTCTGCAACAGAACTGATCAAATCGTTATGAAATCACCAAAAGCCAGATCCACCTGGCTTACTAGAACCCAGAACACCCCTGAATATGCCAGTGTACCCCAATGTATTTCAGTAAAGCCTAGTCTCCGCTAATCTGGTTTAGCACAGCCCGGTTTGTCCGTGTGGTTCAACCCTCCCAAGCACAGCCTCGCCAGCCGCGGGATAGTCGATCTACCCCATCATATTAGACGCTGTCCCACGATCGATCGGAAAACCCCAGCATGCACCAGCACAGACCTGCGCCCCTCGTTATTGTCCAACCCATGCCGGCACAGGCCCCACCAGTCTAGGCCGCGCGCTCACCCGAAATCCTGGTCCATAGACTTGAAAAAGTACTTGGCTCCCGCGGGCCGCTGCAGGACGCTCTTGAAATCGCCGAGCGTGATTCGCTCGGCGGGCACGGGGATCTTCACCAGGTAGGGCGTCTCTTCCTCATCCAGGTGGTAAATCACCTTCGTCTCCCCGACGCCCCCGCCCCCGGCGCCACTGCCCGCCATGGCCTCGCCCGCGCGCTCCCGTGCTCCGCCGCCCACCCAA